AACCTTTTAAAATCTTTTTTTTCCCCCTCCACCTTTTTATTTCAACATTTTACAGAAAAGCCACAGCTCTGTTTATTTTATCAACTGAACAAACCCATGTGACCATTGTTCAGGTTAAGAAACAGAATCTTACCAGGAGGCTCCCCACTCCCTTCCCAGGCCTCCTGCCGGTCTCGATCCCATTGCCATCAGAATCCACTCATAGCTGACCCTCCCACAGGTTGTCAGAGGCTGTAAATCGCATCTGAAAAGATTACCCATTTGCCTCCCTCCGAGTTGCCAGTGGACTTGAACTGCCACAGTTCACCTTTCCACTGCCACTGGGTCAAGGGCAACTCATAGAGACCTGACATTAGGTTATCAAGGCTGTAAATCCATATGGGCGGAAACTACCCATCTTCTTTCCGTCCATAGAACATCTGATGGATTTGAACCATTGACCTTATGATTAAGAGCTCCACACATTAGATGCAACAGCACCAGGAATCTTAACCTTTGCCAGGAGGTTATGTTTTTAAATATATTTTGGGTCAAAGAGTTAAATCTAAAAGTTGAATTTGGAAATTATTTTCTAGGTGTCTGTTTTCCTGTGTAAACCTTTCTCCATGTTAATCAGACTTCATTTGAGAGAGGAAGCTTCCCTTTTCCTCAAGTGCTCTGTAAAATTATACACTGTTGATCCTTTTCTTTGATTAGTTTTCTTCATCTGAGCCATTAACTCTGACACCTCATTACGCACATATCCATCTCCAGAAGCAGTTGTTGGGAAAGATTCCACTTCTGTGCATTACTGTTATGTGTTCATTTAAGCGAGTGAACTTCCTGTTACATCTTTTGCCTAATTTTTGACTAAAGAAATGCACCTTTATAAAAAGTAACTTCCAAATAAAAAGTTCAAACGTCCTACCGTGTCCCTTCGTCATAGGCTGGTGACAGCATCCACAGCCACACCACCAAAAATCCCAGGAATCTCACATTCTTAGTATAAGACAGGTTCTCAATGCTTTGGACAAAGAGTCTGAAAACAGAAGGCACCTCACAAGGCATTTCAACAATGTGATCATTTTATATCAGTGCCCGAGGAGCTCCCACCCTTTAAGTTGCTGTGTGTTGGATTTCATTTGACTGATCTGGTTCTTCCTTCCGCCATTCACTTCTGACATTCTTCTCCGACTATTGAGCCCCACCATAGCTTTCTATCCATAAACTGCTTTCTGGGAATATGTTGCTTGAGTTTTCACTGCTGTCTTGCTTTGGACTTAGCCAATTTATTTACAACTGTCGTGTGCTTCTGCCACATCTACATCGTCACTGTGATGGTATTTTTTTCTTTCTGTCTGTTTCTTCCACAGGAGTTTAACCAGTAATCTACCTAATGTGAACCTACCCAATGTGAACCTTCCCAAAGTACCAAATCTACCAGTTAACATCCCTCTAGGCATCCCACAAATGCCTACTTTTTCGGCACCGTCATGGATGGCTGCTATATATGATGCTGAGTGTGTATTCAGTTCACATTAGATCGAATTTAAATTAAATTAGATCGAAGTCATCTTGGCATGGATATGTATTGTTTATTCCTATACATCCTATATAACAGAGATGGAGATGGATAATTAGACATATTTTGCTGATCATACAGAGACAATATTGTTTACTTCTGGCATACATCATGTTTGTAAGACTTTTTCTATATATATGGCATTAACAATTTGTCTCACGCCCACTGAACACTTGAAGAATTATGTTTCACTTCCTGAATTCTTTTGCAAATGGACTGTACTCCATCCCTTTTTTTTCCCATCCCCTTTTTTAATATCAGTGACATGATGTTTGTTATGAGTTCACCCAATCCCATTCCAGCTTCGTTGACGGGCCAGCTAGTTATGTCGGATATGATATCTAAAATAATCTAAGATAAAAAGCTCCCCTCAGTACCAGCTTGATTTTTTTTTTTCTTCAAGAAGTCCTAGAAGCTACTTGAGTCATGAAATTTATTTCTGGTGTCACCAGTTGGTGGTGGTGGTTGCTAGGTGCTGTCAAGGGAGAACCAATTCATAGCTGACCCTCCAGTGGGATTTCAGAGGCTGTACATCTTGCTGGAGGAGATTGCCCAACTTTGTCCCGTGGAGCAGCTGGTGGATTCAAGCCCTGTGCCTTTCGACTGGCAGCACAACTCCTCACCACTCAGCCACTTGAGAGACTGTAGTAATAATAGGACAGTCAGTGCTAAATTAATACTTTTTAATGCATCAGACCCTTTTAATACAAATGTTATGGAGAGGTACTTTCAAGAGTCAGAATGAAATATGGAACATTGAGTGCTATCTAGGTAGCAAGAAGATCTCAAAATTTGAGAAGATTCAAAGAACAAAAAATTAAAATTATTGTGATCTGAAAGCAAGAAATGTGTGGAGTTGCTTTTCTTGGCGGCCAGGCCATTGCCTTAAGCCAGCGGTTTTGGGATGTGGAGGCTGAGTCGGCATGGACTCTAGTTTAGGAAATGGTTCCTCACTTAATTCTTCCTTAGCGAGAAGAAGACCCAGCACCCCTACATCCCACCTCCAGAAAATTAAATTAGAACCACATGCATGATTTAATACGTGCAATGAGGTTTAGCAATTCTATACCCTCCTTTGATCCTTTTCTTAGACCACAGCTAATTATAGGCCAGATAAGCTTTTTCTTGAAAGAATAAATTGGCACATTTTCAAAGGGAAGTGTTATTATCAAAGGAATAAAAAATGATCTGAAGCTGGCAGTGATGTTTTGAAATTTTAAACTCATATCCATCAAGATGGGCCTCAGCGTTTTTATTTTCTGCAGTAATCCAGGTAGAGAGCAGGACATTTCAGTGACAGCTCTACCTGGCTGCTTTACGGCTACCCGTATTTCCAGCAGCCTGTGCCTGCGATCATGTGATCAGTGCATCCGAGTCTCTTCTGAAGGCAAATTTAAACCTCCAAAAATGTCTATCTGAAAATAAATCCTTAACAGAAAAAAAAGCACAAATCATATTCGTGCTAAGATGACTATCTTAAAAGTTAGATTAGACAGTAACTGTTCAAATTAAAATAAAATAAATATCGAAAAGCCTCTCCTACCTCCCTCTGTGCATGCTCTGTGAACTTGTTTTTGAAAAGATATGAATCAAGACATTGTAATAGAGCAGATAATGGTCTCTGTTCAATTAATTAAGGCATGAGTGGGAACACATTTTGGTAACTGCTCAGCAATCAAAATAATCTTGGTGCTATTGCCTTAACATTAACAGTTTATCTTAAAAATAAAAAGAAAATATTCTTTTCCTCATGTCAAAACTTAATAATAAGCTCTTCAAAGAAAAGAGAGAAAAAAAAACCCAAGAAGAATTTTTTGAAACTCTGAAACCAGATGGGTGTCAAAATGTTGTTGTAATAAATACCAATTATTGCATTCATATGTACTTAATGATTTAAAACATACAACCATGCAGTTCCAAAATGGGGCTTCAACTTAGACAAAGTTGGGGTTTCTTTTTTCCCAAGCAATAGGTTGGGGTCAGGAGAAGGATGAACTTTCTCGAGGGGACAATGCATTCCTCCACTTTTGAACAATGCTGACGGCAGAATCCAAGAAGGTGTGGAATCTCAGTCACCCACCAGGCAATGCCTGATTCTATATCTTTTCATAATTCCAGTTTCCTCCTTTGCCACCTTTCATTTTTAAGGACATGTTTCCATGTTACCTGCTCCTTCGTGTCAGATACATCTACCTTCTGACCTCAGACTGGTCTGTCCTTACGAGCATTGCCCTGTCGGTCCAAGCTGTAGGATCCCTCTCGGCATGTCGGGGGTTTGCTCCCTCCCCGCCCTGCAGTAGCTGTGTATGCATTTATGCACTAGCTATATTTCTCTCTGAAGCATTAATTCAATGCAGCTGGCATCTGTCACAATAGAAACACCCACTCTCATCTGTTTCTATAGACGATGTCAGCACAAGTGGTAATGCATGGTGTGTTGGGCATTTTATAAATTACCGTGTTAGCATTAGTGGTATGCGAGGAAGGGGGTGGGGGGTGGCCACCCCTCTGAGCTCTCTGAACTCCAAATGGAATTGTTACAAAACAGAAAGGCAGCCAGTGAAGGGCAAGAGGGCGAGGGATGGAGCACGTCCCGTGCACAGGCTTCCCATGGAGGCCCCAGGTAAACGTTACCTAGATGTCGTTGTACAGAAGGGAATCAAGACCCATGTCTCCGTCTGTACAGAGGACTGGGTAAGATGATGCAGTGGTGCGAGAGCTCAGGTTTTGAGCCCTACGGCTTTGCAAATAGCGCTTGTCCACTCCCCCTCCCACCGCCCAACTCACCTTGTCCTGGGGCTGCCTATGCAATGGGCTGGTCTTTGAAAATTAAAATCGCATCCAAACTGCTCAAGAATCTTGGATTCTAGGTATCCAGGTGTACCTGTCTTGGTTGAGTCACCCCAATTTCTTTCCAGCTCTTCAAGAGAGAAAGCAGGTCCTCGCTCACCACTTTGTTAGCACTGTCCTTTGGAAAAGGACAATCTCTGAGAGGCCTCTGCTCTGGAGGGGAGCTGGGGAAATGCATGAAACCCTGAGTTCTAATAACTGCATGTTGGCCATGTAGTTATTATCTGTTGAGACTTCTTTCTTCCCCTGGTCCGTGGCCTTCATCTGAATCATCACATGTGTTAATGTGGTTATTGAAAGAAGGCTGATTTTTACCATACACTGTAGTTCTACTTGTAACGGGGCGATACCGCCTTCAGACTTCTCCCTGGTCTGGAATAATTGGCCAAATGGAGTGGACTAAAGCATGTATGGTAAAACTCAAAATCTGCTGGTGGCGATTGCCCCCACCTCTACTGCCTACACACGTCGTTTGTATGTGGAAGCCACTGTTTGCCTTAAGCCTTCTGGCTGCAGTTGTCTTTGCGTAAGCTTTTGTGGAGCCGAAGGCCCGGGGATGACTCTTGTTTTCTGATCTCTGTCCTGCCAGTAATGGATCAGGCACCTCGGAAGATCTGTTCTGGAAACTCGATGCCCTGCAAACCTTCATTAGGGACTTGCACTGGCCCGAGGAAGAGTTTGGAAAACACCTAGAACAACGACTAAAGCTGATGGCAAGTGATATGATTGAGTCATGTGTCAAAAGGTAAGCCTAGGCGGCTGCCCAGCTTCTGCATGCTTTCTCTACTGTCATTTTTATCAGTGAAGGCTAGAGGGATGATCGCTCACTTGGTCCTGATTTGGTCTTTTTAGAGAAGGTGACTGCTTATTGAATTCAGTCAATGGGTAACCCTCATGTCTGTCCATTCATCCCTCAACACAGAACAGTCTGTCTATAACGCTTTTAGCAGTTGTTGGCTCCCTGAGGAAAAGGTCACCATCCATTCTTGCTCATAATCCCAATATGTAACAATAGATAGATGTTGGGATTGGGGTCGGGTTTGGCACAAAATACTCACTTCATAAATATTTGTTAAATGTATGCATGTGTGCATGGATGGGTGGTTAGATAGAAGAAAGAGAAGAAAATGCAGTTCTAGAGTTAACATTGCCCAATGCCAGTAAGCAAAAATCTAATGATTACTAGCAATGAATGTATGTAAGGCCTTCACATCATTATCCGTTTTTGATATATGAACTGACCACCTCCTATGTTCCTGCTGTTAATTGTCTTCCCCAAAAGTCTCGGTATCAACAACCATCTTATGATAATGGCATAAATTTTAATGTCCCATAAATTGCCTGATTTTGTCACTATGATGTGTCATTGAAGTTGAAAGGCTACACTTGAAGTTCCCAAGCAGGCAGTTCAGAGAAGGTGTGTGGAAGACGACATATATTGTCTGCATGCCACTTATATACCAGGCAAATGCTAAGTTCTCAGCACATAGTGAAGGATAGAAGACAGTATTCCTTTCCTCATGGAGGTTGTCTGCCTGTTTAGAAGATGCAGAGATGAAATCCCACTGATTAAGTGTCATCCTCATCTCTCTATCGACATGTCCAACTTCCTTTTCCAGTTCGTAATGGTTTCATCATTTTTCTCATTCAAAAACTATACCCTGAACCACTCAGGCCATGCCAGGTCTCCAGGTGGTGTGTGAATTAGCTGATGGATTGGTTGCAGGTGTTGGGTTGGGTTGGGTTTGCCTGGGAGTGCTCTGGACTCAGATCTTGGAAGAAGAGAAGTTACGAGCATCATAGCTGGAAAATGAAAGGATGAAAGAGCATCTCCATCCCAGGTAGGTGAGTGACTTGGCAAACTTTGGGAAACAACTACGTGCTCTAAAGAAACTGAGGAGGTGTTTGAGCCACTTCTGAAAGCATAAAATCCTGGTCATCCAGATTTTTTGTTTCTTTTTCGCCACCGCCCCCCAATTCTTAGGTAGAACTACTTTTTTAGCCAGTCAAAACACTTGCTTGGGGTTCTGAATTCTACCATCTCATATAAAAAACTGGTTGTTATCAAGTCAATTCTAACCCCCTGCTGTCCTGCGCACAGACTAGATCAACTCCAGGAAAAGCAATTCTCTTTTTCCTAATGGTCAAACAAAAAATAAGATCTTCCAGTAGGATAGTTCCTTGAAGGAAAAAGTTCTCCCTTGATCTATCCAAGAAACTGACATGCATTTCAATTCAGAATTAAAACTATGAGTTGTAGCTTGCTCCATAGCACCTAAGGAAACCAAAACAATGAGCAGCTTTTGATCTGGTTAAATCTATTTGCACATTAAGATATTTATATAGTTCTCTGGGACCCAGAGTAAGAAAAGGGAGATGCTTGGAGGAAAAGGGAAGACATGTGGATATGAAAAGGGGCAGTAACTCTTTAATCCCTTACCACATTGTAATCATATCTTTATGAGTCAGCTCCTTCAAAGAGCATGAGCTACTCACAGACACGGAGCATATCATTTGCATTTTATGTCCTTCACTCTCCCCAGGTCTCCGCAACATGCTTGGCATGAAACAGCTGTTGGATAAACATCTATTGACAGAAGTTGGTCAACTGCTTATGTATTCCACTGGCTGGCACTGGATGCTTGAATAGCCTTGATACTCTTTTCAATTAAAACCTTAAATATAAACACAAAGCAAAACAGAGTTGAAAATATCAGCCCTAAACTTGTAGACTCTGAGACTTGAGCGTGAAAGCATCCTTGGATGTTCCAGGGCATGGGATCTACAGTTGTAGAGCGGACAACCCATGTTTTTCCTCTTTGAGAGGAAAGAAACAGCATTTGTTCTAGCAGGATAACTTAGTAAGGGCAGCACCATATATAGATATAAACTTACAGTGCCAAAAAGTTAGGAAGGTGCTTCTTGTGTCTAAGTTCCATCCTTCATTTAATAGACATTTGCAGAGCCTCCAGCTAAGTCTGTATCAGGTCCTGTGTGAGGTGCAAAGCAGGACCCGTGACTCTGCCCTCCAGGATAGTTGGTTTTATTAAATCTCTCCTTCCCCCACGTTTGGTCCCACATAAAAAAAGTCCGTGCCTATCTGGCATCTTAGTCACATTCATTTTGCATTCAGCTTCCTCTCCCCACAGCCCCGCACTCCAAGGGCTCTGAACAGCTCTCCCGTGAAAGCAGAAGACGATTACTTCATTGCGATGGGAGCGCTTTCTCATTTCCATTTCTCAGCTTGGGCCGGAACTGGCACAGCAGCTTCAGAAGATCAGTACAGGGACCTGTCCAACACAGTCCCCATCAGGCTGCCTTTTCACCAACCCAGAACACGCAACCTTTTCAGAGGAGCTTAAAATGATCATCATGATTAAAAAGCTACTTTAGTGCACAGATTCTCTAGAAGCCAAGATAGAATTTATCTTTAACATGTTCTTATAATATATAGGGGTGTTTTAAGGGTTGAGGGGTGTTTTTTCCCCCACTCTCTTTTTTTCTTAAGAACTGGGCTTCCAACCTTAGAAATTATACTTGGCTTCTCTGCATGCAGCCAGGGTGTGTTCACAAGCTGGCATTCTTTCCTGAGCTAACTAGCTACGTGGTCCTCCTATGCGCTGTTAGAAAACCATGAATACCTCAGAACCAGGATGCTTTCCTGATGGCTGAGTGATTCCAGAACCTGACAGTGAACAATGCGGAAAAGATGCATCGGACAAAAGAAGGAGGGGAGGAAGGCTTTAATAAAGCCACTCACTAAGAAAGATATTTTTCTTTAACGATAAAGGATGATGTAACTCACTCACTTCTCTGAAGTCTTTCAGGATAGACCTGCCCCCTCTACAACGCTGTTATTGGGGATTGTACACCTGTGTTACCAGCTGACCAGGCTAATCTAGGTGTTTCCTACTCACGGTTCCTTCATTCCTGCTTGTCATACGTTGACCTTGCAATGTCAGAATTACTGTTCCTGGGCGCTAGAGCCAATGTGCTCAGCTCTTAATGAAACGGAAGTTCAAATGCACCCAGAGGCATCTTGGAAGAAAGAGCTGTCCATCTCTTTCCAAAAAGTCAGCCACTGACATTCCCATGGAGCACAGTTCTTTTGTGACTCATTCATGGGGTCCTCATGAGTCAAAATTGACATAGTGGCAGCTGGCTGCTCTTGTTAACGCTTCTATGTCAGAGTTATGTTAGGATTCTACTATTACCCAATTCTCTCATTAGCGAGCATATTACAATATCGGAAGTTCTAGAAAGAATGTACTTTTATTTCAAAAACATTACATGGAAAGGAAAGAAAAAAAAACCAATGAATGTTCCCTAATATTACTCTTCCTGCTTTCCCTCGCTTCTCCAAACATAGCCCTCTTTAACAGCTCTATACATCTCCTTTTGCTCTAAGAAACCAACCAGAACAATATTTTGTAGTCTTCAAAGGAATATGATACACTTGTTGAATTTTTGTTTAATCTCTTTTAAAATCAGAAAGAGCAAAACCAAAAATGTCACTTATTTCCCCACCACCATCACCACCACCATGAGGTTTTCAAGATTAGACACTGGTTTCTCTACTAACCTCCAGTGAAGGTAGGCAGTTGCCAAAATGACAGAACGGGCTATAATGCTGCAATCAGGGGTTTGTTCATTCATTTATTCTCATGCAGTTATGGTTCTCTGTAGCAAGTCAACTATAGACAGAAATACTCCAAGCTATAGGTGTTCTGTGGACTGCTGAGAATGGAAGGGTTTACCTGGCTGTCTCTGTGAATAGGATTGGCGTAGTTGGGAAAGTCATTCAAGAGAGAACACATGTGAAGTCATTGTCGATTAAAACTGATTACAGCCCTCAATTTTCTTTTTTTCACTGACCTCCCGGAAAATGTCTCCTCCACCTGCTGCTGTCTGAATGCTGAATTGGTCTTTTCCTACTTTGTTTTAATAGAACCAGGATTGCATTTGAAGTTAAGCTGCAAAAAACCAGTCGATCAACAGATTTTCGAGTCCCACAGTCAATATGCACCATGTTTAATGTTATGGTTGATGCCAAAGCTCAATCAACAAAACTTTGCAGTATGGAAATGGGCCAAGAGGTAAAATTTAAAAAAAAAATACTACAGTTTTTTCCCCCTCCTCCCTCTCCATCGATCATGTAGAAGATATCTTCACAAATTGCTTCCATCTACAAGGTTCTGAAATATACTCTAACATTTGTGAATTGAGACACATATACAGCCTGCAGATGAGTGTGTGGTATCTGTTTGTCAAATAAATTTCTAAGACATGTGTTGGTGAGAATGTCACTTGCTTGGAAGTGATGCTTGACTGGAATTGGGGGTGGTCACAAAGTTCCTTTAAGCCAAATCACATTTAACGACCTTTTTTATCAGGCTGGCATTGCTAACAGATCTGCATGCCAGATGCCAGTTATTTGCATTCTGGAGGTGCATTTTGTCACTTTGAACATCTGGGAGGCAGAAAATCTGGTTCTCTTGCACCAGGCAGCTTCTGCCACTGATCATGCTAGATCACCCAGCTTCCTGTCCCTGGCCACCAGATTGTGGATTTCCAAGGAATCATACACTTTCTCTTTCCAATCGATCGAGTCCATTGGGAAACTTCTCGGACCAAAAGTTTAGTCCTTTGCTAAGTTTCCAAATCCAAGGCGGTATTTAAAATGTAAAGGAGGAGGAAGCAGCAACTTGGGCTTGATTAAAGACTATCATGATCATTTTTCTCCAATGGCCTTAAGCCAGCTAGATATTCATATACCAATTTAGAATTAATTCAGAAACATTTCTGGCAACTCTTATGTTGTTGCCAATTGGCATAAAATGCTCCTAAATCAGATCTTTCAATACCAGCCTTACATGCTCAGAATTTTTACTAAATTATATTTGTTCCTTATTCGCTATTTATTTTCTCTCTCTCGGCACCTTCCAGTTTTAAACGTGGGTTGGTGGTATTCTCTTCCTGGCAAGATCAAGTCCAACCTTGTTTCCCCCTAAATCGTTTCCTCAGCCACCCCCAAGTAGCTTTCTGCTCCTGACTGATTTTCTTCTTGGGGACCTCTTCAAGGCTTGGGGCAGGGGATATGGGCATGAGTCACAGTCTAGACACCAGGATGAAATAGAGGGGGCTCCTTACCTCTCTTTCCCAGACCCGTTCCCCATATGTTTACATGGTCTGGCTCAGAGAGTCCCAAATGTCAGTGTACATCAGACCCATTTAGTGAGCTCCTTAAAACACGGATTTCTAGACCCAGTGAGTTCCCAGTGGACCTGGGATAAGGCCCAACAATTTGCATTTCTGATGAGTTCCCTAATGACCGGGATTCTGGAGATACAGAGAATGGCTAGGAGGACTCACGCACCAAGGAGAGCCTCGTAGTGGAAGTCCTCCATCGTGTGTCCAAACACAGGAACTGCTGTCCTTGCTGTGCTGTGCTACCGACTGGCATTGGAGTCATCACTCATTTGGCCTCTTTGAGCCTCAGTTTCCTTGTCTGTTTTGGTTTTATTCAAACTGATGCTGTAGAATTGGTTCTTGAACCCCTAACCAGAAGGCCAGCAAGTGAAACAAATACAAGTAGGGCTGCTGTGAATGTGGAGCAAGGGAGTTGACAAAGAGTAGATCATAAGGCCATGTCCTTCTCTGCACACCTTCACTGCCACCTGCTCAAGTTTTTAGGGGACCCTCTGAACAATCTGTTAGGTTTCAAAGCATTCACATTTTTTATGATCTCTGAAGGTCATGAAAATCCTTTTACACTCATGCATTCCAGAATTCTGTCTCTTCTGGATTCTTCTCCCCTTGGAAATTCTTTGTGTTTTAATTCATATACATTTTGAGATAAAATTCACACATATTCACAAAGTTGTGCGACAGTGCTGTTGAAGTTCAGAACGTTTCATCACTTCAGAAAGAAACTCTGGAGCAGTCACTTCCCATCCCACATCTCTCTATGGTCTACAAGCCCTAAGCTGATAGTCTACTTTGAGTTTTAAGTCTATTGCCTATCCTATATATTTCTATGGAATCTTGCATGAGCCATGAGCCAGAGTATCTAAGCTTTATTATTTAGCATGTTTCCAAGATTCAACCTTGTTGTAGCATATATTGGGGTTTTTTATATGGTTTTTTATTGTGGTCTTTTTTTTTTATTTTATCATTGCATGGCTATACCACATTCTTTTTATCCATTTATGAGTTGATAGATCTTTTAATTGTTTCATCTTTTGACTACTAAAGAATATTACTACTAAGAAATTTAATGTACAAAGTATTATATGAATCTGTATTTCTGATTCACTTGGGTAATAAACCTACAAGTGGAATTTCTGGGCTATATGGTAAGGCTGTGTTTGACTTTTTAGCAAGCTCAAACTTTTTTCCAAAATAAAGCATAGTTTTCTACTTCCGCTGCCAATAGATGAGGGTTTCTGTATTTCCTCTAATTTCTTTATATCTTTCCCAATGGTTAGTGTCTGTCTTTTTTATGACAGCCATCCTAGTGGAGGCAAAGTGCATCTCATTATTGCGTTTATTAGCAGTGAGGCTGAGCATCTCTTCATGTCTCTATTGGCCATTTTATATCTTCCTTGGAAAATAATATCTATTTCAACCCTTTCCCACTCTTTAAGATGAGTTATTTGTCTTTCATTGTTGAACTGTAGGCTTCTTATAAATACGTTCTTGTGGATTTGTTTTAACTTTTGAAGTTCTATCTCACATACTTGGGGCATGTTGCCAGGAGGGACCAGTCCTTGGAGAAGGACATCGTGCTTGGAATGGTGGAGAGACAGCCCAGGAAAGGAAGACTCTAGCTGAGGTGGATCGACCCAGTAACTGGGGTAATGGGGATAGGTGTGTTAGGGACAGTGAGATTGGCTCAGGATGAGGGAGGGTTCCAAGCTGTTGTACATAAGGCCGTTATGAGTCACAGTCAACTCAACAGCTCATAACAATAACACAAATATATTCTGGATGCCAGATAATTATCATTGTTATCTGGATACTGGATAATCAAGTAGGTATGATTTCAAAACCATTTCAAATTCTGTAGGTTGTCTTTTCAGATTCTCTATGGTTTCTTTTGAAGTGCTATTTTTTTTTAACTCTGATGAAGCCCAGATTCTGCATCCTCCTGCAAGAGATGTCCAGGTTAACTAAATTTCACAAGGTGGACTTCATTCCCTAGGACTGAAGGGTGAATACAATAGGACTAATATTCTTTTACCCCTCGGCACTCCTTACAGTCCTTTCTAAATAAATTGCTTTATGGCCATGTTTAAACAGTGCTGTGTTCCTGTTCAGGCAGTTGAACAATTCTTTCAAACAAAGCAAGTCAATCTGATGCTAACTTTTCTTGGTTTTTTTTTTAGCAGGGAGTTTGAGAATAGTGGAAGTGGGAGGTTCTTGCACAGACCCCACTGAGATGAGATGAAAGAAGTATAGAGCCATTTCTGAGGGGAAATCCCTATAAAAGAGTTTTTTACTATGTCATTTCAGAGGATCAGTGGGCTCCTTAGGCCCAGTCATGGACCCCAGTTGAAAATATATAATGAGAAATAACAAGTTGGCCCTTTATCACAGTAGAAGCAGTTTCTCGGCCTTCTATGCTAGAATACAATAAACTTGACTTAACCTTCAAGTCCGGTTTTTTAGAAAAGCAGGTTGTCCAGTGGCTTGATCATCCTGTGAACCACACACACCATTCCATTAAACTGTGACCTTGAGCAAGTCACTCCCTCATGTAACTTTACTGTCATCATTTGCCGAATGAGAACTTTCATGTATAGCACACGACCTGTGGGGTGTATGCACCTAGCTGAAATTAAGGATAGGGCTATCTATCCATCTATCTATCTAGATGCAAGAGTGGAAAGTTTAGATATGCCCAAATAGCCCATATCTGAGGCTCAGTAGCCTCAAAAATCTCTTCCTGAACATTGTTCTATTTGATAAAGTAGAAAAGTCTACATGTACTTCCCCCCATAAGATTCAGATTTTTCTTTACCATGCACTGTTTCGGAAAACATTTCTGCTTATCTGCTACAGTGCATACTGTCTGATTGTTGTTGTTGTTGTTGTTAAGTGCTGTCGAGTCGCAGGTGACTCATAGCGACCTTATGAAGGAGAGCCCTCAACGCTACTCTCTGATTATGTGATCTTTATTAAGAATCCATCAATAGTTAATTCCATTCTATGACTCTGTAGCAAAGGCTGTTATTTTTCCCGAACTATGCTAGAGACTTATCACACATTTCTATTTAATGAATTGGAGGCATCTAAGTGACCAGCTTGTAGCTTAGAAGTGAGTTCTCTTCTGAGTTTAGAGTACTGAGAACCTCAGCATTAGAATGAAGGCAGACATCACACTGTCAAGAATTTCTTTCCTTTTTGGCACCACTAAAGAGCCGTGATGGTGATTACGTGTTAGATGGCTAATAGGCAGGTCAGAAGTTTGAATCTACCAATCACTTTATGGGAGAAAGATAAGTAAGTCTGCTCCCATTAAGACAGACAGCCTTGGAAGTTTGATGTAACGTCTCCTTAAGTTGAAATCAACTCAGTGACAGTGAGTTTAACATTCTGCTCATGAGAACCACTATGCTAGTACTAGTACCTGTGACTTTGGCCTTCCCTCATCATGAAGAAGTCACAGGTAAATAAATCCCTCCTAACTTTTTTGACTTTAAAGATCTTTCCTGACTTTGGAGGATGGAGCTACTCAGTAAAACTTGTCAAGGATGTCTGGAAAGCTCCTAAAATTGGTAGAATAGGTGGGAGGGCAATGTTTTTATGTTGTTCTCACTTTGTAAGTATTGGTAACTAAGTCCTTTCGGTAAAATGAGTTATCAACCTTCTTTTACCTGGATTCAAGATTCTTCAGCCTATGTGAGGTTAGATTTAAGCCAGGTGATATGATATTCTCCTAGTGTAAGATCACTTCCTGAAATTCACCATCAGAGTAAAAGTCCCATCTAAAGGCAGCTGTTGAAACATTTGTTAGCCATACTTTTCCATCTTAAATATTTATTTTTTCATTAAAATTTGTGAAGCACCAATAGAGAAGAAATTGTGTATTAAA